CAGAGGATTTGGAACCGGAGAGAAAATCGCACGAATACAGAATGAGAGACAACCTCTCACGAGCAAGGTTTATTTATACCCGATGACGGGAAGCCGAAGGGTTAAAGGTAGCTCGGGGATCGTAACCGTCAGACACTTTTCGAAATTCAAAACGACCGCCAAAACCGGCCAACCACACAACAACACGTGGCAAACCCAGATCCTAGGCAATCATAACAGGCGTAGACCATAGCCGTTGGCACCGCCAGCGCCGCGCAACGCCTGGGGGGCATGGCACACCCGCGAGCACGAAAAAAGCGTCCGCAAAACCCAACTCCAAACGAAGCGCGCAGCCAACCAAGAATCACGCAACGAATCCCATGAAAGTCGCGCGCCCAGCAGACCTTCATCCAGGCGGAAAATCAGCACGATTAGTAACGAATCTGGAAGGCGTCCGTGAAACGCCTACCAGCGCGCCCGTAGAAAACCCCGCACTCCGAACGAAGCGCGCGCAGCCAAATCCCATGAAACAAATCCCATGAAAGTGGCGCGCAACAAATCGCGCAGCCAAATCACGCAACAAATCCCATGAAAGTGGCGCGCCCAGCAGACCTTCATCCAGGCGGAAAATCAGCGCGACTGGCGACGATCCCGGAAGGTCAACCCCACGGAGTCACGCGTGTCCGAGTCGACTAGGCGGAAATTAACAGGAGGTATTCGCGGAACACCCCCTGATGGGGGGCAATTGTTGGGCATGTGACTCGGACCAGCCGCACCAAAGGAGCGCACCAACATTACCACAGGATTCACAGTGGCCCGCCTAAGAACGCCACGACCGAAGACCACTCGCGCGGCATAGCGCGCACACAACGGCGTGCTACGGGACGCGCACACGTGGACGCGCACACACGGGGAAATTAGAGTGCGAGACGGACCAAGGAACCGCAGAAGGCGTCACTGCGCTTCACGAGGCAGTCACATCAAGGAGCTGGGTATAGTCATGATTAAACCTCTGACACGTCCTAGGTAGAGGCATGGCCTAAATCCCCATTGTGTCAGCGGTCATGTCGTAGTACCATCACGTACCTAACCACTCACCCACCACCTTGTAGCCTATAAATAGGGCATTTACTACGGTGGGTGAGGGGATCACATTTTTGGGCATTCTATCTCTAAAACATCAACTTCTCTCTCTAAAGCACCAATTCTCTCAAGCTTCCAGACCTTCGTTCTACGTCCGATAGTTGATTTTCCATTGCTTACTCTCCTTGACCCACTTTCTTTCCCGGACCTCACTCCTACACTCAGTTAGGTTCAAACAAGAAATTTTGGAGAAAGAGAAGAAGAGGGGTAAATAAACTAACTGCTAGCTTATAAACATCAAATAACTTCCAGCTGAGTGGTTGAATATGTTTTGAATAAAAAGGGGGTCTATGGTTCGATTCACATCACGCAGCTCCGCGGCCCAGGTTGGGTGGGCCTTGTCAGGGATGAGCTCCGCCGGATTATGAGGCCCAGGTATACTCTGGTCCGCCTACGAACTTTATTATGTGAGGCCTCAAAAATTTGAGGCCCTGTGCTGTGGGTTTGACCAGCACAGGGCCTGGACCGGGCCTGAGAGTGTTACGAGTCTTAGATGCATGTATGGTCAACAGGTTATATTGTCGTCTGATCGATTCCAATCACCGATCTATTAGGTATTACGCTCAAGTATTAATGAGACTCTCGATCTCTGAAAAAATTACTCTGATTAGGTTTATCGTCCGCCGGGACAAATCAAGAGCCATTTTACCTTGTTCTAACTACTATGATTGTAAACAAGAATGATCTTTACACCCTATGTTAACCTTGTTGGAGGTTTTGAGATTGTGAAAGGCGGGAAAGAAAAACCAATTGATTAGGGGATTCTTCGTACGACGACCAGCTACTTGATCGACAGAGACTGGTGATTTGTTGTGTTGGCTGGCCACCATCAGGTGCTGATGACAGACAGCACAAAAGCCTGATCCATTTGGGCCTGCCTGCCTGCCTCTGTTGTCTTCTTTATTTCAACGTAATTGATTAGTTGATTAAATTCATCCAGACCATTAATTAAGTCGCTAATCCAACTAACTAGCTCCTCTTCCTTTCATAAAAAAACGAATAAATAATATTTTGCCCCGCAAGTTACGTTATCTAGAACCCAATTATTTAACTAACTAATCTCACTGCAACTTAGCTATTAGACTGGAGATCATAATGACGAATAACAACACTACTTGAACGATGGAAATATAGCATAATCAAAGACCAAACCCTCTTCTGTCTGACAAATTTGCTTCTTGGATCTTTCGACAATCCAAGTTTTTAACAGACTCTATAAAAAAAAAGTTTTTAACAGACTGATATAATCATTCTCATCTAACCAAGGTGGAAGAAAAAAATGCTAGGAAATTCCCTATCTGCAGTACAAGTAGTGAACATTTTTTTTGTGTAAAACTGCACAGAAGTCATATGGTACAAATTAGTGGTATGGGGATTTCTCCTCAAACTATCTAACTCACTAAAAAAAAAAACTTGTTCTGCATCACTTAAACTAAAACTTCTCAAACTATATAAATTCGGAGTGATCCGTTGCAGTGTCCGGAGATGTTTGTGGTGATTCGGTGCCAACGTGATTCGAACAAGATGGTTGCTAATTTACACAAATGGCTACCAAGTCCCAACAGACGCGATATGGTTTCAAAATTGTTGAAAACTTTCAAATGATCGTAATTTTACGACTTCGATTATCTCGAAAAGTTATGCAAACTTAAAGAGTTGTGTTGATCAGATATTTTATTTTTATGAAGTGTGTTGATCAGATAATTGAGTGCAAAGTTGCAATTCGTTTTGTCATACATGATTTTCCTTTTAGGAATGCAAAAGAGTGACTTATTCAATCTCATCGGTCATTACTATATCATTAGCACTTTTAATTTCAGAGTTCATTCAAAACAACAAATTGTTCCGTACGACCATAAATATTTTATATAATTTGTTGATGTAGAATTTTTCTTAAAAAGAACCTATGTACCTTAAATTGTAAAGCCGGAAAGTATTGGGAGTAAAATGCAAATATTTTTTATTAAAGTTTTAAGTAAAAAAATATCAAGGCCACGTCGCACGACATTGTGAGCTGGGCGTGGCTTGTGAATCTGAATCTGAATCTCATCCAGTTTTGCGATTTGGTGGAGAGAGGGGTGCAGGGCCCCACCACGGAATAGAAACATTGACTTGGTCAAACAACAGTTTTGAAATACTAAAAACCGCCCATATTGCTCATTTAATTTATTTTAAAATGCCTGAAAATCCGACTAAAATGGAAAATATGAAACTAAAATGAAAGAAAATTGAAAATAGACTCTCCAGTTTTGGTTTGTGAGGAAATGGGTAATAAATTAGTTTTTGAAAATGAAAGAACCGGGAAAAGGGAAACTTGGCTTGCTTAGCTGGAGGAGGAGGGAGACGATGGGGCCGGCCTGTGGCGGTTGAACAAATAGACGGTCCAAAGTGGCCCAAAAGGATTAAAGAAAAAGCCCAGGCAAAGGGAAGTGGGACCCACACAGTTCGGCGGGTGAACAAAAGCGCGTGAGAGAAGCAGTTCCATTTCCTTAGTAAATAAGAAAATATCTACTTTTATCAGCTTCGAAATTGCGTCTCACAAAACCGCAAATGCAAAGTGGTCCTTTTCCTTCGTCCAGTTGTTCACAACACATCAGTCTCAGCCCTCTTGTACTCCAACTGTTGGGATCCAAAGTAAACAAACTAAAAATAAAGTTAAATTGAGCAGAGGGAATTTAGGGTTGTTGATTATACTTCTCTTTTACGCAATGGTGGGGGATGCTTCAAGCTGAAGCAAAGCTAAAATTTCCAATCCATTTCATCACTCGTCTCATGCCCCCTTTTTTTTCCCAATTTCCTCCCCACCCGGGCCCCCTTCTTCGACAGCAAAAAAACGAACGATGATTTCGTTAAATCTTAACATCGTTCGGTGTTCGATATCATAACCGTTGAAGTTCTAAATCTCAGATTTCAATTCCTAATAGAAACAGCAACGACACAGAGCGAAAGTACTGTGTTTATGAACTACTTGCGAAAGTAATTGAGACAATAGTTGTAACGACACAGAGATCGAAGACAAACTCAGATGTAAACACAACTGTAACGACACAGAGCCCTAGGTTGAGCGTGGCACTGTGTTCCTAATCTTCGCATGTAGCAGTAACCCGTTCTCTTAATTAAACTATTATTGGTCAAAGAGCCTCCTGCATTAAAAGGTACAACCACAGCACATAGATCCACTGCTTTCTTCTTCTTTTATACAACCTTGGCCTGGGAAAAAGCAAAGAGCAAAGAGAGCCAAAGAGCAGTGAAAAAGCAGCAGCAGCAGAACCCAAACACGCCAAAAACTCATTATATCAAACCCAAGGAAATTCCCCAGTCTTTCTCTTTTCCTTTTTCACCCCTCTATACAATCTCACAGTAAAAAGTAAACAGAAAATTGCAGAAACTGCAACCCATGATTTTACAGTTCGCTGCCTGAACCTAGTGAGAACAGAAACAGAGCCTACTGGTTCTTTCTTTTCCCCTTGGATAAGAAAGAACCTTCCTTAGTTCCTTAACCACACCCAAACCAATAATATAATTAATTAAACAATACCCTCACCACTATTTATTACTAATCATAATACCCCACTCTATTACAAACAAAATAACCCATCTTTCTTCTTCATCTTCACTATCCTGCCTGCCTGGTTCAAAATCAAACCCCTAAAAAAAAAGCACAAGAGGAACTTGATTTTGGCTTATTCAGCCCCTCTCTTTTCAAAATTAACACACCCAACAAAATGCCCTTCTTATTACTAAGCAATAACTTATTACTGTTACCTTAAACGGCAAAAAAAAACCACCTTTAACCTTTTTCCCTACTACTAATACTACCCTTCTTCTTCGTCTTCTTGTTGCTATAGTCTGCTTCCTTCTCCCCAAAACAAAAGAACATCATCCATTTTGAAATGGATCAATACGTCCACTCCTGAGGCAGCCTCCCAATTTCATGGCTGAAGAACCCACTTTCTGGCTGCATTGCTCTCTTCTGCTGCTGCTGCAAAATCAAGTTCCTTCTTGCCAGCAGAGACGCTGTAAATTTAAAACAGGGCAGAGACAAATAATAATAAGTTATCAAGAGAGATAACAGTTAAAATTTAAATAGATTTGAGGGACATTATTGCTTTTTACCATAATCAGCGGCGAAGGATGCGTTAAACCGTGGAGGCTGACCCTGGCCGTTACAAGTCGCCGTCTCGTCAAAACTCAAGTTGAGTGCATGGACGACCTTCGCCGGCACGATAACCCCTATGATAGAGACAAACGCACTAAACGTCAGAGTTTGAATTTCAAAATTATCCCCACCAGGAAACCCTAATAGAGAAAGGAAATGTGGGTACCAGGAGAAGGTTTCTTCTTCGAATCGGGCACAGGGGTTCCATATCTACGCGGAAGGAAAACCCCTGTTCCAGCGCACTCCTTTTTCGCACCGGCACCGCCATTACTGGAACCATATCCAACTCCAACAAACCCTGCCGCCGCCCTCGTCCCCGAATTTAAACTCCCCGCCGCCTGGTTATGTGGGTACTGGGGGCGATTCGCTTGAAGTGGAGGCCAGCAAGACTGCGCCTGAGCCTGAGACAGAGGAGGAGGCCGGACAACAAATCTACTGCTGTCATACACGCCACCGCCGCACGAGATCTGCGACTGCGACGGCGGCGGGGGAGGAGGAAGCTTCGGCCAGGCAGCGGCCTTCACTTGCTGTTGTTGTTGTTGTTGTTGCCTCTCCCAGACTGACGGCCACTGTCCATTCGGAGTCCCCTGTTCAAGCCTCAACTGCTGAATCTGCAAAACAGAGTAATTACTGAGCACCGAAACTCTTAAATCAGTAAAATTTCCCCCCCAAATTGGCGATAGAGGAGCTTTACAACTTACCTGAGGGGTATTATGGCCGAGGGAGTAAACCGACCCAGTTGGAATCCTCTGAGACATCTTCAGCCTCGCCACTTGCCCTGCAGCGGCGTAAATCAGATCCCAAGCGTCGTTCTTAGCACCAATTGGAGCCGGAGTAGTTGTAGGAGACAAGGCGCCGTTGGGGCTGCCGTTGCTGGAAACCGACATGCTCCCCAACCCGTTGAGCGTGGACTCGGGCGACCCGACCACAACCCGGTTCTCCTGTGAAGGAAGAAGTAAAAAACAGAGTGAGTTTCTCGGTGAAGAGAAAGTGAAGTGGAAAAAAAACAGAGTGAAGAGGGGGAGAAATATACCGGTGACTTGAAGGTGAGTTGCTGGGTGAGGCGGCGAGTCAACCCGGCGAAGAAGTCGTCCTCATCGCCGCAGGTGTCAGAGTCAGGGGACGAGTCGAAGTCGTAGGGGAACTCGGAGGGGAAGGTGAACTCGGGCTTGTGTGGAAGCCAGGAATCCGGGTCTCCGACGGACAGGGTAGCCATAGGAGAAGTGGGGAAAAGAACAGATTTTGGGGAGGGAAAGAGAGAGTCTGTGGTGGGAAAGGAGAGGGATTAGAGGCAGAGGAAGGAGAAGGGAGGGTTTAATAATAAATGGGGGAAACAGTCAAGCTTCTGCTGGATTTGCAGGCACCGGTGAAACAGAGGGCCCAATAGAAAGAGGAAAGGTAGTGAGAGAAAGAGAGAGAGAGAGAGAGAGAGAGAGGGAGGGAGGGGAGTGGGTTAGTGGTGGAGTGGAGTAGAGAATGTGGAAGACATGTCGCTCGCTTTTTATTAAGGTTTCTGAGTTTCTTTTTAGGGTTTGTTCAAATTTTAAAAATGACCAAAGAGAAAAGGAAGAAAAAAAACCTTGTATTAAGTAAATAACCAATCGGATGAGCGTGAATAGTGCACATCTATTATCGGAATGCATTGGCACATCGCATATATAATATTTTTGTTTAACAAAATATATATATGTGTGTAATTTGACGGTTGGAGTTTTACCGTCAAATAACACGTTCGCTCGTCAAATTCAACATTTAGTTTGAGTTTTACATAAATCCATTAAAATTCTTCAAGTTCGAGTTTTACCATACTTGATTAACTCGAATATGAGAGAGTATCCATTGGATATGATTATTTTTGTCATTTCTTGATGGATGCCTAAATATGGGGAGGGGATCAGTAGGGCGATTGTGTGTTGTCACATATTAAATTTGAAAATTTTGATGGTACAACAGCTTGATCAATATTTCATTCATTGGATTAATCGCATATTCACTTTGGTGGATAGTGCATGTTATGAATAGCGGCCGTCATGACAAATTTAAGCACTACAATACGTAAATCAAATTTTACGCGACACATATACGGATAACTTGGACATAATACTCCAGATTCTACTGTAAAGATATACTTTGTTGCCATTGTTTAATGTTTATGGTATTTGCAATTTTGCATGTTAATTTTCCTGGAGAAGCTGGGTGACTTTAAATTAAAATAATAGGACAGCATTTATGCTCTAAAATGGTAACAAGATGTGACGTTTTTTGGTTTGAAAGATTTTGAATCGCGTCTCAATTCAACAGTTGTAATATAAAACAAACCATTTGAACATTTGAATTTGTACGTGGTACTCGTTGAGAGAATTTTTTTTTTAATGGCTCGTTGAAAGAATTGGGAGGGAAAGGAATGCTATTGCGGTTTTTTTGTGTTTAAATTTGTCTTGCTATGTAACCCCACCCGTCATTTGTGTTGCTGCTAATTAATCCATTTCATTACCAGTCGTTAAATTCTTAGTTAATCCATCATTTACGTTAATTAGTAATTAGTTGGTTGTTTAAGCAATTTGTGAGTGGGGGAGGGGACGGCCGGGTGTCTAGTTAAACACAACCCGGTCCATGTTTTTGTGTGTCGGTCTCCTGTTATGTTCTTCCTGATTCCTCTTTTGCCCTACTTTTGGTGGGTTTTCCAAGTATCTTTAGCTGCAGCTGTAGATTTTTAAATAAATCGGTTTAGGCTTTAGAGTGGGGTTATGCGGTATGATTAGATTCTTCCTCTCTACGCTTTTTTTGGCCTTTGGCTGTTTTGCAAAATGGGCCGGGTAGTCCAACTGTGGACTCGATCTGTCAGCCCCTAAAATTACTAGGGTTAAGTGGGTTACAGTTTGAGGAGTAGAGCTAACTTTGGATAGAATCTCGACTAGTAGGGGGGGAAAAATTGCTCGAGTGAAAGGATCCAAGAGAGAAAGAGAGAAGACAGGCCATTGTTGTTTCTTTCCGAGACCTGGAGACCCGGTATTTATACGCAAATGTAAGGGCAGTAGTTAGGCTTTTGCCAAGAAGTTATGATCAAATACGTTGGTTTGATTTCACCAAAAAGAAAATGTTAATATGATCATGCGAGTTCTTGGATATTCATGCGAACGAATGACCTATATGAATAGGCTTCATTAATCCTTCGCTTGCAAGTAGGGATGGCAATGGGGCGGGTTTGGGGCGGGTTTGCCTAAACCATCTCCATCCCCATCTTCAAATACCCAAACCCATACCCGCCCCATACCCATTCGGGGGAATGTTTTGCAAACCCATCCCCATACCCGTGGGTTTCGGGTACCCATGGGTAATACCCATCCCCGTACATCCAACATTATTATACCTAAAACTTACAAGAAAAGTTTTAATTATAACCATAAACAAACCTATTATATCACGAAGTCAACAAAACACGGTCATTTTCTAAATACGATTCAAAGAATATGATCCTAAAACATCCATTAATACATAATATAGACTATAATATTTTTTAAATTATTATGCTCTAACTCTTGATACATTTACTAAGTAATAATTAACTAACACAATTTTGTTGACAAGGGGGAAAGTGAAAGAGTGGAAGGAGAATTGAGGGAAATGAATTAGGTTTTGATTAAGGTGGTTACTCAATTGCATTTCTACTATTTATTTTCTCGAGTTATCATCATCATCATTGATAGATTACAATTTAATCCACGTATTTTTTTATATGTGAAGAAATTCTCTTGGTGGGGCGGGTATGGGTATGGGTATGGGGCGGGGGAGGCTAAAACCATACCCGCCCCATACCCATCAAACCTTTTGCGGGTTTTACCCATACCCGCCCCATACCCGGTCAAAGCGGGGATTCCCCGCGTTGACTGGGTATGGGGCGGTCGGGTACCCGCGGCCATGGGTTTGATTGCCATCCCTACTTGCAAGGGAGTAATATTCACTACAAAAAAGATTGGCAGATGTTACCAGACGATTGGCGTCACAAAAGGCCTTTTCTCGTCACTAAAAGTTTATTCTGACGAAATACGGTGGTTAGCGAGTCGTGGGGTAAAGGTCCGTGGGTAATAGTCTAAAAAAAATTGGCGTCATAAAAACATTTTTTGTGAAGATAAATTTTCCTCAAAACCCAATTTATCGTTGTCAGAAAAGAAATACCCTCGAGGAAAAAAACTTGACGAAAAGTTTTTGTGAGAGAGAAAAATAAAATTTCTAAGGAAATTATTTTGTCAGTTTAAGTATTTGTGAGAATAGTTTTTTGTAAGCAAAATTTTTTTTTTAATAAACCTTTGAAATTTCCATCCCCAAAATACCCTTATGTGTTTTTGTGATGATTTGTTTATTGTAAGAAAAGGTTGCATAATTAGACAAAAAAATTTGTTCCCAAAATATCCTTTTGTTATTTCCGACGAGTAAAAGTCCTCCTAAAAATTTCCAATGAAATTTTATGGTTGAAAAAAATAATATATAAAATAATTAAAATAAATCATACTATATAATATTAAAACAGAAGAATACTGCATAAATATGTGGCCTAGCCATAAAATGTAAGACTAGCCATAAAATATATCTTACATGAAAACTGTGGAAACGCAAAAACAAACCCATACTCAGGAAGTGGAACTCCAAAAGTCGCATCGGCAACATCGGCCTCCTTTCACTCACCCACATACCCCTCAAGAACAAAACACCTCAATCCAATCCAAGAAACAAATGAAATAACACAAAAAAAAGAAAAAAAATAACAAAAAATTACAATTTCAATCGTTAGGATGACATTAACGAAGGCAGTGAGCGTTGCTCAACAAAGAGGTTGAATCGCGGCGGTAGAGGTCTCTTTTTGGATATGCTTTCTCTGGTCAGCTGAGGAGTCCAGAACAGGGCACGGAGGGAGATGACTTCTGTTTTCTCGCTGCTCTCTGCTCCGTTAATGGCGGCTAGAAAAAGGTTCGAGGCTCCATAGCCTTCGCTGCTGTCCAGCTCTCCTTCACGACAATACCTCTTCTCCATCCGACAGAGACTGCTAAAATCTCATCGCCGGTTGTTGCACTCGGAGCGCTATAAAAAAAAGCCAAACATAAATCAAACTCAGAATTGAACTGCAGAATAGGCATGCATGTATATGGAAGCTTACCGGATCTTTGATTTCTTCATCATCGTCGCCGTTTGATGGGTGAAGGATTAGGTCGAGAAAGGGAAGAGTAGATTGAGAGGACCTTTTGCATTTGGATTCGTTTCTCAAGTAGCAATAAGAAAGAAGAGAGAACAAAAGGAGAGAAGGGAGGTTGACGGCTGCCATTTAGGGTTAGAATGGCTAGGTTAGATCCGAATGTTGTTTATATATGGTTTCCTGGAATTGACTGGGCCTTGCCTGTTCCCAAGAAGGTTTAGTCACTTGTTCAGTTGGGCTACTCGACAATAATTGTTTGAGTGTGTTTCCATCTTACTTTATTCATTGAACATACTTAATACAAAGTTTTGAAAAAGAAAATTGTAGAGTAAAAGTTAACTCCTTTCATTTTTTTTTATAGGAACTCCTTTCATTTTTAATATGTCAAATCCTTCTTCATGATTAAATCCAATGTATTATTCTTTATGTAACCCTATCATTATCGATTCATATATATTTTTTCTCAATAAAATCCTTGATACAAAAATCACGGTTAGTGAAGCGTTTTAAAAAAAATCACAATTAAAACAAAAAAGAACGAACTACAAGGGGTTTGAATTCACTTCCCACATTTTATAATGTGATGGAGACATCCTTTTTTCCACACGTTGATTTGTGGTAGTGACTTTGTTTCTTTGTCAGTAAATTATTATTATTATTATTATTATTATTATTATTTATATATTTAAAAGAGAGGTTTTGATGTTACTGTTTATTAAGGTCTAATCAATAGGGGAACAAAAACTGAATTAGTAGGCCACTTCTAGGATTATTAGACTCCCTTCTAAACTTAAAAAATCATACTAAACTCATTGTATTTAAGGTTTTTGTTGTCACAATTTTTGTCAAATGGGGTCCTAGGACCACACTTCTCTACCTTAATGGCTAAAATTGAACTTGTACATGTACCTTATTGTAAAAGTTCAATTGAACTTGTACTTGTACCTCAATGGTCTAAATTGAACAAAAAATTAGAGTAGCCTAATTGGTTAAGTATGTCATCTTTCATTTGGCTCATGATTCAGGGTTTAGGGTTAAGTTTTTTTACAAGGTTTAGGATTCAGGATTTAGGGTACAGGGTTTAGTATTT